AAACACACTCAGCAGTTTTTAATAAAAACAAAACTCTTGGGTCAAAGTGAAGCATGTCAATAATAAAGAGGGGACAGTTGTGGTCAGAAAGAAACTTTCATAACTTATGTCCATACTGACATTTATTTGTTTGACATACCTTAAAATGTTTCAGTTTTCACCATAGGTGAAAACTGAAACATTTTATGTTATATTAAGAGTCTTTGGTCAAATTGAGGTATTCTTGCACATGAAATCCTATCATTTTAATACACCGCAAATGCTTTCTGTGACTATTATTTGAATCTGTGTGTATCCTTCTGAAACCATTTCATAAATATAAATTTTAGTCACCTGAGTCCACTCATAGTTAAGGACAACATACAAGAGAAAACAAATATCTTTATTTTTTTCAAACTGTGCGTGTTTTTCCATGAAGTTATTGTTGCCTGTCCCAATATATATTATGCAAGTATTTTAACATTAGTAACACAGTATAACCAATATGCACCTTAACTGAGACATTGAAGACACCACAACTAAACACAGTATAACCAATATGCACCTTAACCGAGGCATTGAAGACACCACATTAAACCACAAGAACTACTGTAAGTGCTCCATGTTGTAGGGAGAGAGATCGTTGGGATGTATGAACATTCGATTTTTACTTTTTAGCAGTTTGAAGACGATCGCTCACATTTTCCCAGTTGATAATATTCCAGATTGCTTTAACGTAGTCCGGACGCACATTTTTATATTGAAGGTAGTATGCGTGTTCCCACACATCAATACCAAGAAGAGGGATGAGACCTAAAAGCCAAAAAAGGGATTATTTTATTTAATCTGTGGCAACAGGCAAGGCAAAAATTAAATGTATGCATTAAAAAGTCAGCCTTTATTGGCCATATGCACAGGTTACTGACCTGTTGTCCCCAGCAGAGGATCCTGGTTAGCACAAGCAGCAACACGGAGTCTGCCACTCTCTTTATCATAGCCTAACCATCCCCAGCCAGAACCCTGCACTGCTACAGTGGCAGCAGACATTTTCTCTTTCATATTCTGGAAGGAACCAAAGTCTCTTTTGATGGCTTCCATAAGTTCTCCTAAATGATGAAAGAGACAATAGGGACAATAGCAATAAGTAATAAAGAAACATATCTGAAAGAATGCTATATTTTTTAAACAACATCCATGTTAAACTGATAACTTTTAAGACAATCACAAACTGATATTAATTTGCAAAAGTGAGGGTGGTAATTAAACCATGAAAGCTGAACTGTTCTTTTTTTTATGTTTAGGTGGCAGAAAAACTAAATAGAACTAAATATAACAGTCAATGCCATGTGAATGATGTTTGAATTTAGGCACAGGACTTTTCACCTTCTCCGAGTTCATTTACTGACTTGGTTATATTTGTCCAGTACAACAAGGACAAATATTGTTTACAATAAATAGGATTTGTTGTACACAATGCATAACACAGGCTTAAAAATAAACAACATAGAAATTAGCATTTTTAATATGGTGCTGCCTCACCCTGTGGCTCGCCTCCACCATTTGGAGAAAGGTTTGTCCAAAAGATAGTGTGGTTGATGTGGCCTCCACCGTTAAACTTGAGGGCAGCCTGGAGGGAAACCTGTGCTGTCACATCACCTTAAACACAACAAATAACACCTACATGAATGTGTCTGCATTGACTAACAAGCATACTGTAATTTAATACAACATTGTCATTGTACCTTTTGCCAGAGCCTCTTGATATTTCTCCTCGGTGATGTTGAGGTTGTTCACATATGTGGCATGATGTTTGCTGTGGTGCAGCTGCATAATCTCTGCACTGATGTGAGGCTCCAGAGCCCCATAGTCGTACGTTAAGTCGGGCAGTGTGTGCTTCTGCCTCGTTGCAGTGACTTTGCTAACAGTTTGACTGAGGCTGGCTGCACACCTGGGGTAAACATTGACAGGGATGACTGACAAAACATTGGCTGGCTTGGTCAGGCAAGTTTAAGTCAATGAAAGCAAATATTTTGTGGCATCCAAAACTGGTCCTTTATCAAATCACATTTAAAAGACACCCGTACACTTGGGTTAGTGTAAGGACAGCTTGTCTATCTTGGCCAACTGACAATGACCTTAGAAGTTTCATGGTGACGTTTCTCGTTCAGAATATTATCTAAGGTAACTTGTGATAACAATGCGTTGAAGTAATGCGTTCTTTCGTAATATTACAGCACTTAACAAACAATTCACACACCCGCACTTCAATACATGGCTATAATCTATTTCTAAAAACTGGTATTTTTGTGCGTCACAAGTTGAAATAACAGCTGCTAAAATAAGTTAGCATACAGAGTTAACAGCGCTATAAAATATAGCAGCAAGCGCTACTAACAGAACGTGAAAAACCTGATTGTGTTGGTTGTAAATTTTGCAATAGAGTATTGCCATTTGTTCAACTTTTACCTGCGTATTTGAGCAACTCTGCAAAGCATGTCGACGTGAGTTTCTACAGGACTGGGTGAAGTCAACTACTAACTGCCCTTGAAATAAGCTAGTTCAAGTTGACGTCACAGTGGAGCGTACCATTTCTGTTTAGAGATCCCACTCCTGTATTTTTTTAGTATTAATTACTCATTGTTTCTGGGGGGTTTCAGTGCATTACATTCCTACTTTTCGAGACAATGGGTTAGTAACTTCTAATAATACACATACATTGAAGAAATGTGTTTTTGTCTTGCGTTTCTAGTAAATTAAGCAAAAGCGCTAAAATGTAGGGAATCACGTGTACGCCTTCCTTTCAGATTATACCACAGCGATACAGGAGCAAAGATCGTCTATCTTTCGAGAATTTACTTACCAAAGAGCCGTTAATCTTTTAATGCCCGTAACACAATTATATGTAATGTTTGATAATTATGATTTCATAATTATTTTGTTGTAATTTAATAATGTCGAAACAAAAATGTGTCTACGAAACACAACACGTTTATTAAATATACATTTCTGTATTTGTACATGCATTTGGATGAATTGCTGTATTGTTTTTAAGCAAAAGATATAAAAGGGATGTAACTTTTTAAAAAACATGTAATTTTACAGTCATATGCGTTAAAACGTGTTTTAGAAATCGCTACGCAGTGAGACGTCTTACTACTGTTGCAAATCTCTGTTTGAGTTCTGCTGCAGCAGAGGCAGCGCTCGATCTGAGCCATTCTATTCTGCAAATGGTAAGAGGAACATGATGACGAATACGCAAGCGACGAGCAGATACATCTAAATTAAACGCTAATAGGTTTTTTTGGATAGATTTTTAATATAACGTTTTAAAGGGAGCCACCGAAGCCGGATCACATTAGAAACACCGAAAGATACCGGTCTGGGTGAGTATTTCCTTCGATTAAAGGCCGCCTATCTGCAGCCTACTGCCCGCTACTTTCAGGAAAAGCAGCCCTGGTGAGGGAGTCGTTTCTTTCACCGCCATTTTGTTATAACAAGAAGACGAAAACACAGCCAAAATTGCACGATGTGGGGTTGAACAAAAGGGAATTGTGCAATATTTATCCTCAAGATTCTTAGCTCCCATTTATTTTCCCGGCACATATTATAGTTGTTAGCCACGCAGCGTCTACGTTAGTTAGCTTATTTTATACCCGATGCTCCTACATCGGCTCCCTGTCACACCAGCTAAAGAACAAGCGTGGGCACCGTTTATTAACTGGTAATAACGATGTGTATTAGTAAAGCAGTGGGTCATCGGTCCCTCATAACATGATTTAACGGTGTTTGAACAAACGGCCATTGAGTACACGCTGCAGAAGCTGTTATTTACCCATGTTTTTGTTCGTATTTCCAGAGTCCACAATGACCAACGAGGAACCTCTTCCTAAGAAGGTGTGTGTATTTTTTATCTCGCATTTAACGGGTAGGCTTCATAGTGTAACTGACCAGTCCACGGTTTCTCACACAAACAGGTTCGCCTCTGTGAGTCTGACATGAAGACCCTGACCAGGGAGGAGTTGTGCACAAGGTACTTGATTCTGCTCCCAGAGACTAACAAGTGGAAAATATTTGTTCTTTTGATGAAGAATGTGACCTCAACGTTTGTAAACTTTTTTTCCAGATGGAAACAACATGAAACATATATCCAGGCCCTGGAGTCAAAATACTCCGAGTTATGTTGTAAGTACATCTAATGTTGATTTCATCTAACTTTAGGGCTGCAGAAATTGGTTGATGACCAAAGACATTGTTGTGTATTATTATTTAAATGTCAGGTAATGAAGATTTGGCTTATGGGTGATTTAATAATGTGTCTTCTATTTTGAGTATCAGATAGCAAGTGTATCCTGAACACTGCATCTTGAGTTGTTAGTTTATGTTGACACGTTTGCCCTTCTGCCCCTCATCAACATCTTAGCCAATGATGTGACGGGACTAAAGGAGTCTGAGGAGAAGCTCAAGCAGCAGCAGCAGGAGTCTGCACGGAGGGAGAACATCTTGGTTATGCGCCTTGCCACTAAGGAGCAGGAAATGCAGGAGTGCACAGTAAGTATCTGTTCTCTTTCTGTCTTAATGTCATTGCTTGGTTCTAGGGAGGCTTTATATTTATATATCCCCTAAAGATCTGACAATTTAAAGAACAATTAATGGATTGTGGGCTAAATACCACTGTAAATGAATCGTACATATAACCTTGTCAGAATTGTTTGATTAGTTGTTAAGTGAAACTAATATCCTGTGCTGTATCAGTGGAAACATAGCAGGTTTGATTGATGTAATTTTTTCCGAGACAATCAGTAATTCCCCATAAGTAAAATACTACAGAATGTCACCGTTTAATGACACTTGTTTGGTTTAATCCTGCAGACCCAGATCCAGTACCTCAAGCAAGTGCAGCAACCGAGTGCGGCCCAGCTGCGTTCGTCCATGGTGGATCCAGCCATCAACTTGTTTTTCCTCAAAATGAAGGGTGAACTGGAACAGACTAAAGACAAACTGGAGCAGGCCCAAAATGAACTGAGTGCCTGGAAATTTACACCTGATAGGTAAAGACAATCAAAATAACTCCCCCCTTCAAAACAAAACAAAAAAGTCAAGATTTCCTCACGCCCCCCACCCTCACTCTCACTGCAGGCATGCAGGAACAATTGTGGGGGAGAAAGGCTGACACATGCCGTACTCGCCACGAGACTCAGACTTTACAGAAAGCCAGTCACTGCAAAACAAACCTCTTTTTGTACTGTTGCACTGTGCCAGCTACATTACACATAACCTAACGTGAAAAAAGACAGTATGGTCAGGTGACACTTGTGTTTCAGCTCTCACCGCCCAAGGGCCTGAAGGAGTCCGGATTATTTCCAGAAGAGGTGGTCACTCACTTTCCCCAACATGGATATGCCGCTCTCGCCTCAGCCTAAGGCAGACAGTTTACACATTAACTGGGGAGGGGTTATGATGGAGGTTGAGTTAGGCGGGGAGACTCCCTAGCCTAAAACAACAACTTTTGAACATTTAAAAGACAATTCCTATACACGGTTCATAAAGACATTTAACTGTGGATTACACTACACACATACCTGCTAGTTTGTCTGAGAAACAAACAAAGACACATCACATTCAGAAACACGAGGAAAGTTCCATAACTTAAAATTAAGACTTTGGGGGCGAAGAGACACTTAAAAATGTTTGAGACATTGAGACTGTGGTGGAGCCATATCTCAGGTCCATCTGTGGACTGTGCTTCAGGCATTTAAAAGTCCAGTCACCTGTGTCTCACCTGAACACGGGCCAACTCACGGTAGAGTGTTTACATTTACATGTTTTATTTTTAATTTTGTGACTTGTTTCTTTTCAATGGCATTTAATTTATTTCTCTGAACCAATCACCTACTGCAGTGTGTGCGTACCTTTGGAACCAGAAGTCGATTGGCTCAGGTTGTCATATTTGTTGCACTCTAAACGTTTCTGTGGCACACAGCGAAACACACTGCTGTAGGTGAACTGAGTCCTGTTTGAAGCTGTGAATGCAAATGTCTTTCTGAAGTCGTGTGTCGAGTCATGAGAATGTTCAAGGTGTATTTATATGTATTTCTGTGACTGATCCCACGTTTTTCTCCCTCAGCCATTTACCTTTACCAGAAGGTTACCTTATACTTCTGGGATGTTTGTTTTCATTAACTATTTTTAATATTTTTTTTGTCTGCAATTCAAGCTGCAAGATTCTTAAGAAGGCAGTTTGTGCGAAACAAGATACTAAACAAACGTCTTAAACTTTAGTGACAGGTGTTGTAAAACTTTGGAAAGCATTACTGCAGTTTATACAGTAGTTTAAAGAATTGGATACTAGTTGCAATTACCTTAACTACAAGCTGTTGATTGGTTATTTTTGTTGACAAATTGGCATCTACTAGTCAGATTATGCCTAATCTGGGTTCATAAATGTCAGTCAACTAGAGTTTGGAATTGTATGGGAATAAACATAAGGTCAGTATTGATTAGTAGAAAGTCAACAGATATACAGAACCATTAAATTCTCCGATTTGTGCTGCACCAGATTCTTACTGCTGAAAAGAGATTTGAAGTATGTAGGTCAGGATTGAACTCCATAATACCTGGTCGTATTTCCCTTTTTTTTTGCTACTAAGTAAATGGTGAATATTAACATGTGACAATTACCTGGTAAATCTCGTCAATTACCACTGTTACTACTGCTACTGTTCTTTTGCAAGTGCTTTTCCTTAATGTTCATCATGGTAAGTGGTAAATGTATCAAACAGGTGTTTGGCTGCTTTAAAACTTGTTTTAATTTATCCACATTGATGGCGACTATTCTGTCATTTTGATGATCAAGTCATTTTATACCATTGGTAAAGTGAACTTGATAGTGGTTATTGTGAGTTACTGGTTTATTTTTTACCACATTTTTAATCAATTTGAGAGAAAAGGCAATTTTGTGTTTTGACTCGAGCCAATTACAGGGATTCTGATGGTGAATTGGGGAGAGGGTCAGGGGGTTCAGAGTTCAAATGTTACCACTGCCTTCACTGTGTGATGTGAGACTTGTTTCCCTTACAGCCAGACGGGCAAGAAGCTAATGGCCAAGTGTCGGATGCTCATCCAGGAGAATCAGGAGCTGGGGAGGCAGCTGTCCCAGGGACGTATCGCTCAGCTGGAGGCCGAGCTGGCCCTGCAGAAGAAGTACAGCGAGGAGCTCAAGAGCAGTCAAGACGGTGAGGACCACTTTACAGCTCAACCATGCTTACTCAGCCATAGTCCAGTTTAAATCTATTATTGGTGAATATTCTTTATCATTTCCAGAGCTGAATGACTTCATCATTCAACTGGACGAGGAGGTAGAAGGAATGCAGAGCACCATCCTGGTCCTGCAGCAGGAGTTGAAAGAGGCCAAACAGCAGCTGTCTCACACTCAGGGTGCCGTGGCCGGGCCCAGTAGGACTTCACCTACAGCTTCCACCTCATCCAACGAATTGTCCACAAAGCCCGAGCAGGCAAGTGCAGCGTCAGACGGAAGGATCTCCAATGGACCAAGCAATGGCAACTCATCCCAGAGAGGCGAGACCACTGTGTCCAGCCTGTATCGCGAGGTGAGCAGCACTGAGGAAGACTTCCCCATGTCCCCCAATGTCTCCAGCCCTGGCGAAGCAGACACTAAACTGTCCAACCATTCGGAAGAGGCTTCGGGGAATCAAACTTCAGCTGGGAGATCTGGAGGACCTGTGGGATTTGGAAGTCAGCTGAGTGCAGGGTACGAGAGCGTGGACTCTCCGACAGGCAGCGAGACATCATTGACTCAGCACTCAAATGACACAGACTCCACCACCGACCCTCACGAAGACAAGACTGCCCTGGTCACCAAGGGCACCAGGACTGCAGGGTCACGGCACACTCAGAACGGCTTGGACTCCAGCATGAGCGACAGTGCAATTTTGTAACGTACTCTGTTATAATTTTTTTTATACAAATAAGGCAACAATGTGTAGTCTGACACAGCACTGTTGTGTTATTTTTGTTTTCACCCTCCCCTTTAAGACTGTGATGCCTCTGTCACATTTGTGTTGCTCAACAGGGAATATAACTTGACAGGGTTAATGTTAGAGTTAAACTTTGTGGCTGTATGATTTAAAAGTTGTTTCATTTGGCTGTTAAATTGGTCATGTCTATGCTGTTCTCATTTGAACTATTGACTTCAGACATCTGGTGTTGTAACTCCATTAAAAGTCAGTATAAATCACCTAAATACACTAGCTTGTGATATTCAAGGTCATTTTTAGGTGTTGGCCTGTTTTTTGTTTTGTTTTTCTTTTTTTAAATAAAGTTTTAATTTTCATTGACAAAATCATGTCCACAAGATTCTGTTGAATTGTTTGTAGTTTATATGCGATGTCATATTCAGACTTCAGTCCTTTTCATGTACTGACCAAATATCAATAAAGACTTTTAATACTGTAGAGTGAAACCCGTTATTACTCACCATGAATCAATTATTAAAAACTATTTGCATACATTTTGTTTAAAGACTTTAGCAACCAAACAGATTTAGGTTTGACTGAAACCATAAATGTGCAACCACAACTGGAATTGTGATGAAGGAAAGACTTCATCTATCAAAACTAAAACGGCTCAAAAGAAATTAAAGGAGTCAGCAGGTAAACTAATGCAATGTGATTTTTGTCTCTCCCGAATCATACCAGTGAAGTTGAACTTAAATCTGGGTCTACTCTAAGCAAAAATAAATAAATCAAGGAGACTAAGCTTTTCTTAAACTATTCTGCGTACGCGTGTAAGGTGATGTCGTTTAAGCTCCGAAATTAACCTCAAGAAAGTTATGTAAAATGTGTTTCTTTAGTAAAACGTTACAGTTTTTCAAATACGTACTTTAATGATCCAAAAATAGTTACATCGAGGGCAACTGGATAAAGTATGGTTTTTTTTCTTTTTTCTTCAAAAAAACCTATTTCGTTGTACTTCAGTTGCCCTCTATGTAACTATTTTTGGATTAAATAATCTGAATGACTGAGATCCTACACAGACGTACTTTCATGATATGCTAGGCTATTAGTAGCTGGTTTGAAAAAGGAAAACAAGTCCTCCACAACATTTGGGGTCGCTGTCGTGTATGGCTTCCAGTCGGAGTTTAAATAGAAGACTGCAGTGGCAGTGTCAACACTAAAGCTCAGAGCAGCGTGGACTGACAGGATTCTCAACCGGACTTAAAACTTTAAACCTCAGCCTGTCAACATGAACATCGAGCCTGTGGTCATCGTGTCTGCTGCCCGGACACCAATAGGTAAATACAAGCTTTTCGAAAACAGCGAACTCATTCATTCAAAACTGAATTAAAGCACCAACATTACTACTGGGTATCTGCTTACTTACCGAGCGTCTTGTTGAAACTTTGCTGTAGCGATACTTGCTTTTTCTTGTAAATTAAACAATTCGTCTTTTTTAATTAAGCGTTTACTTCCTTTTCGTTGCGTGTAATTAAGTAAAGTGGTCGACGTCATTAAATTAGGTGTGTTGAGTGGCGCAGAGTTCTGACTGGCTCTACTTTGTGTGTGGTGCTGTGTCGAGATCTCTGATTGGCTATTGAGTGATCGTCTCATAGCACTATCGCTGAAGCTATTTGCTGACGTGCCTCGGTCGAGGATAGGTTACAGTCCAGTAGAAGTTCCCTATAGGCAAATTTATATTTAAGAAACAAAATGACTAATTTCATTTTAAAACGATTGTTTTCTTAAAGCATTAAATAATAAATTATAGTAAATTGACTCGACTGCTTGTCACAGTTGAATACATTTCCTTGTAAATTACTAAAAATCATGCATTATTTTCTTTAATTATTAATAATTTAATTTTTTCTTCTTCTCTTTTTTCCCCCACAGGGTCTTTCAACGGTACCCTGTCCACAGTGCCTGTGTATGAACTCTGCTCAGTTGTGATCAAAGACGTTCTGCAGCGGGCAGGGGTGAAGCCTGAGGAGGTCTCAGAGGTTATCATCGGACACGTCCTAACAGCAGGTACTTTAGATAAAACTTAATTATTTTTCTACATCACCTTGATTTGGCTTCTTATGTCGCTTCTTTTATCTTGATTTAGGCAATGGACAAAACCCTGCACGTCAGGCGAGTGTTGCTGCAGGAATCCCATACCCTGTTTCTGCCTGGAGCTGCCAAATGGTGTGTGGCTCTGGTCTGAAGTCTATCTGTCTGGGAGCTCAGTCCATCCAGACCGGAGAGTCCACCGTAGTAGTGGCAGGGGGAATGGAGAGCATGAGTAGGGTAGGTTTGAAAGACAAAGCTGGTCATCTCTCTGATCCATCGTCCAAGCATTGAGTATTTTCCTCAACAATATGAGTTTTTGAACATCTTTTCTGATAACGTAGGCTCCTCACACACTAAACATGAGAGCAGGAGTGAAGATGGGTGACGCCAACCTTCAGGACTCAATGGTGGCCGATGGGCTGACAGATGCCTTTCATGGCTACCACATGGGCATCACAGGTAGGCGTGTGATTTTCTTTTCTTTTTTTCTTTTTGATAAATCTCAGGCTAATATTAAGACTTGATCTTTACATTTGTGTATGCTTATCAGCTGAGAATGTAGCCAAGCAGTGGAACATCAGCAGAGAGGAGCAGGACAAATTTGCCGTTCAGTCCCAGAATAAAACAGAGGCGGCCCAGAAAGCTGGTCACTTTGATCAGGAGATCGTCCCCATCATGGTGCCATCCAGAAAAGGTGAGAGGTGTTTCATATCATCTGTGGATGTGTTCTCCACATGCATGGACTCTACATTGTCTTTTCTCCCTCAGGTTCAGTGGAGGTTAGTGTGGACGAGTTTCCACGTCACGGCAGCAACATGGAGAGCATGTCTAAACTCAGACCCTGTTTCATGAAGGACGGCAGTGGCACCGTCACTGCAGGAAACTCCTCAGGTTTTCAGAGTTTCAGTTATGAACGATGAGCAATGTAAATGTCTCGTCTGTGCTTGGAACTGAAATGAGAAATTGCGTGTAGGTGTAAATGATGGAGCAGCTGCAACAGTCTTGATGAGCCAGTCAGAGGCACAGAGACGTGGCATCAAACCAATGGCAAAAATTGTATCTTGGGCCCAAGCTGGTCTTGAGCCATCCATCATGGGAACTGGACCCATTGCAGCCATCAGGAAAGCGGTGAGAAGTGGATGATGGTCGAGCAGAACTTTTTCCTTCAGGTCTGAAACTTTTCTTTTGGCTGAGCTTGTTCCTTGGTGTTGTTCTGACAGGCTGAGAAAGCAGGCTGGCAACTGGACCAGGTGGACTTATTTGAAATCAATGAAGCATTTGCAGCCCAGTCCATTGCTGTTGTTAAAGAGCTTGGGCTGAATGCAGACAAGGTGAGTGATCATAAAAGGTTGTCGGAAATTCTTCAAGTCAGAAATGCTAATGCTGCTTTCTGGTCCATTGCTCAGGTGAATGTGAACGGCGGTGCCATTTCTCTTGGCCATCCCATTGGCATGTCTGGCTGCAGGGTGCTGGTGACACTGCTGCACTCCCTCCAGAGGACGGGGGGAGTAAAAGGAGTGGTGTCACTGTGCATTGGAGGAGGGATGGGCATCGCCATGTGTGTTGAGAGAGTCTGAAATGTCACCTTGTCAAATGCACTCTTCTTTTTGTCATTTATCTCAAAGAAGGGAAGTGCGAGGAGGAGATGTAACATGGTTATAGTTCACCAAACATTTTAGATTTAAAGGACAGCATTACAGGAAGTAACTGTTTTCACTGTGATCTTATCCTGGTTTTCTCAGGTACTAGTAAGTTAAGTCTTGTTTTAGTCAACCAGTTAATTTAGTACTATTGAATAGAGATGAATGTGACCCAAAACCCAAACACCACAAACAAATATTTCTTTTAACTTGTGGTGAAATTCTTTGAAGACTTTCATCTCTATGCAGAATACAACATTCCTACTTTTTGAGCAGTCGTGCAGCAGCTTTGAAATCAAGCTAAGTGCCAAACATGTGGGTCATGTGTCCTGTTCTAAGTTTTGTTCAAATGTTTACTGTAATCTCCATGTTGATCAGTAAAGAATTAAAGCAAGTCTACTGTCTCTACGTTTAAATGCAGCACAATAACGACAACTTTATTGTTAACAAACCAAATTAACAAATCAGCGGCCATTTACAACCATTGAAGCTTTATTATTAAGTGTCCAAAAACAAATCACTTAACAGCTCCTCTGGAAAGCAGAGCCCCAGGGGAGTGGAAGTGAGACAACAGTAAACAGGCAAAGTGCAGAGCCTACACTAGATCGACAGCCACGATCAGCTCATGTATAAATACAGGCGTTTGAATCTATCGGGACCAGTTACCACCCCTTTAACCTTCAAGGCTTCCTGATTGTACAGCGTCCTGGTATGATTGGCCGCCCTCCTTCTGCTCTGGGAACAGTTTGATGAGGTCATCGATGCGAAGGATGGTGATGGCGGCCTCTGTGGCAAATTTGAGGCTCTTAGTCTTGACCATAGTCGGCTCGTACACACCAGCCTGGCGGTTGTCTCTGGGCTTGCCATTCACAAGGTCCAGACCAATCCTGAAGGACGTGACAGTAAAGTAGAGTCAGAGTTTAACATTTGTGTTAACTAAAATAAAGACAAGTATAACAGAGCCAGCACATGGCATAGGTCATACAGGTGAACGCCTAGGGCGACATCTAGTGGTGATACTGTTACCCCTTAGGAAAAATCTATTACAATGGGTGGTGAGTGGCCCTGAACTATACTCCCATCCCGAGCACCAAAATGGCAAGACACTGACCATTTGAGATTCTTGCGTTCGGGGTTAACTTGGGCCTCATTGTGGAGGGCACGGAGCTTGGCCACCAGGTCAGTAGAATCCTGTGCGGCATTCACTGAAAGGGTTTTGGGGATGACGAGAAGAGAACGAGCAAACTCAGCGATAGCCAACTGCTCCCGGGAGCCCTGAAGAAATGAATAATTTGGTCCAGATTCAGTTTAGAAAATTCAATCAATCTACAAAGCTACGACAGGTTGTAGGCTTTTGGTTCTTACCATGCTGGTTGCGTAGTTCTCCAGGTAGATTGACAGTGCTGCCTCCACAGCACCACCACCTGGTACGACTGACTTTGACTCCAGCACCCTCTTGACTACACAGAGTGCATCGTGCATTGAACGCTCCATCTCGTCACACATGAAGTCGTTGGCACCTCGCAGAATAATAGAAGCCGATGTGCGTGCTTTGGTACTGATAGAAATTAGGAGAACAAATAATTTTTATTAGTTGTCCCTATTAAGGTCATTCTCATTAGCAGTGTATCTATAGCTTAGAGATGTATATAAAAAACTTAAACTGCCTCAAACCTAACCAATCAATCAAACTGCCCGGTTCTTACTTCTTCACAAGAATAAGCTCATCGTCACAGATGCGTTCCTGCACAACTTCCTCAGCCTGGCCCAGCATAGTAGCCTCAAACGTCTCCTCTCCTTCCAGATTGGTCAAAGATGGGCAGATGGTCGCTAGATGTGAAGCAAAGCTAAAGTCAACAAATGCTAAAACCGTAAACTATGAATCAAAGCATAACAAGATAGTTGGGGAAAAAAACCCAAAACATTTTTTCACATTAAGTAAAGAATTTCCTCATACCTCCTGCAGCCTTGGCGATGCGTTTCAGGTCCTTCTTAAGAACTCTTCTGACTGCCATTGCTCCCACATCCACAAAGTACTTCAGACACATGTCGTCAATGCCACCAGTGGTCAGAATCACATTGGCACCAGCTGCCAAAATCTTCTGGATCCTCTCCTTGGTGATGTCTGATTCCCTGAAGCAAATAAAAAAAATGTTATTGTCTAGTAAAACATAAAATAGCAACAAAGTCTAGTCAAACTAAAAGACGGTGTCCAGTCAACAAGATCCTCAACAGCTCAGACGACGCTGCTGCATTGACCCGTGACTGTGTATATTTTATCCCACGCGTATCACTGTGTAAGCTACTGGGTCAGCATCACAGCAAATTTAAATGGGATTTTTCTCCAGAACCAAAGTTCTGTCCTTCACTCACCTTTGTCTGATTTGGTCAAGCTTCTCTGGGTCACTGATAAGGACTTGGACTCCCATCTTCATTTTGGTCTTCTGCAGACTGAAGTCCAGGCAAGCAATCTTGGCATTAAGGATGCGCTTTACCATGCCTTCAGACAAACAGAGCGCAACATTTTATTACAGGAAACCGTTTATATCTAGCGTGCTGTCCATAAACACAAAAAAACAAAAAGTACCAACTTCAGCCAATATCTCACTATCTGACCAGTTTTTTCTGACCTGTTGCCAGTTTGGTATCAATAAAGTCTGTCTAGTTTACACAACCTTAGACTATATTAAATTAAAGAAAATTAATTACATTTTAGAACAGAATGACAAGTAAACAGATTCCACATCATGTCATCATACCTTGAGATCCGACAGTGCAGTTCAGTGCATATCCATTCACCAGGAAGCTTTCCTTCTGACTGCGTCCGTGGGCTTTCAGCACATTGACAGAGTTGATGGGGTATTTGGCCACGCCCTTATTGTCCACAAACTTCACAGCCAAGGCAGCATCCACAACAATGTTAGCAAAAAAATCTGAATCACTAATGAATCAGCAGTCAAGGTAGGTAGACAGAGTACACTTTCTTTCCTGTAATTGCCAGTCATTTCTTAGATCTAAAACTGAATGTAAAACCAAGTCATTTTATTGGTTGTTTTCCCATCTTCCCAATAGAGAAAAAAAGGATACACTCCAATGATTTTAGAGGACATGGATGTCTTGGCTGCATTGATTAGACACTCCCGGCCCAGGTCATCTGTTGCAATGGTAAGATTCTCGTTGATGTAGCGCACTGCCTCCCTGGAAGATGATTCAGTTAGATAAATGTGCCAATCAAAGGTTGTCATTTTAACCAAGCATTGTTTTAAATAAATGGTAGCATCTTACTTGCAAGCCAAACGATATCCACTGATGACTGATGTAGGGTGGATCTTCTGCTTCACCAGCTCATCTGCACTCTTCAAAAACTCTGCAGCCAGAATTACCTACAAGAATGTGGTAAGGACCAATTAGAAACAGTCCCCAGTACAGCTGTTTACAAGAACTACAATATTACATTGTGCCATCATTTCATTAGAGGTGGCAGAAATAAGGCTGCACAACCCCTTCAGACATTGACGGACAGTTAATCTTTCCTGTTAGCATAGCCACACCTCCGTTGTAAGAGGCAGATGTGTGGTACTATTAACAGGAGTACTATAACATTAGTTTGCGTGTTTAAAAAAATCCCAAAGCACAAAATCCAAACTATAGCTAATATAAAATTAATCACGTGATCATCTGCTTTGAATGCCTTGAGCAGCTGTCTCCCATACTTACCACAGAAGTGGTGCCGTCTCCGACCTCCTTGTCCTGCAGGTCAGCCAGTTCACACAGGACCTTAGCAGCTGGGTGCTCCACTTCCAGCAGCTTCAGGATGGTTGCTCCATCGTTGGTGATGGTCACGTCCTACAGAAGGAATTCAGGACACACAAATTGTTATCACCTAGCTACTGCTTCGTGAGCAAGCTTAGTGTAAACACTGAATGACAGTACAAAATTCAGTTAAACACACTAACCCCGATGTCGTCCACCAACATCTTGTCGAGACCAACGGGGCCGAGGGAGCTTTTGACGATGTTGGCGATGGATGACGCTGCCATGACTGAGCAGAAAAAAAAGAAGACATTATCACACCTAAGCAGTTTGACGAATTACTTGTATTCTATCCGTTTATTGTGCAATAACATATTCTGTCAATTAATTAAGTGGGGCGCACAGTTAGGCAGCCACACCTTCAGAACCATGACAGTGTTTGTTCTCCCCCATTAGCATAGCCGCTCATTCATGGTGATGCGAATGAAAGGTACTATAATGGGTTGACACGCATGTGACAAACAAACTGGCAATAAGAGCTCATACGTTCTTTGTATTAGTGATATCGAAATAGATCATTGTTAACGTGAAACCCACTCTAATTTTCAGTAGCATTAGCAATAGCGTTAGCCACACGTGTGTTGCGCACAATAAATGAGCCGGTTTTGAGTTGAAAGTCGGGCACACGCAGAGACGACGGCAGCATTGCATGAAAATTTAAGAAATGCAGAATAAAAACTCACCATTTTGAGTACGAATAGATTCGCCACGTGTTCTCTGGCCGAACACATTTAACGGACCGTCTAAAAGCGACATTTTGGACCACCACACAACCGAGAAGAAAGGAAGCTGCGCAATGCACTCTGGGTAAACCGGTATTAGCCAGAAGGTTCGAGAAGAAAGTTTATTTTAATAATCACGGTACGTGACGTGTGGTTTTATCTGAGGACAGGTTATTTGCAATGAATGAACAATGGCCGTTCACAATAAACGACACATTTATTCAAACAGAAAATGACTTTTATCCCTTCGTTCTAATAAAAAAAAAAATTACCCAGCGTGCCTCAACGCAACGCCATATCCGTTTTAATTTATGTGCGACATCGCCTCCTACTGACCGGATGCTTGAATTTAAAATTAATTATTCTGGTAACAATTGTTTTGATCTAATTGTGTTCATATATCATTTTCATGTTCAGGACTAAAGTTTAGGGATACATACATAAATACACACAAGAATGCAACAAATCTAGCTGTCATTTAAATGCAGATAGAGTTATGTTGTTGATTGCAATCTCAATTATTATCTATTATCTGTTATTATCTGTCTTTGATGTGCTGCTCCCCCAGCACACCACAGCGTATGGAATGATGCTGGGAACCACAGACTGGTAAAACATTTTTAGGAGCTTCCTGCAGATGTTGAAAGACCTGAGCCCCCGCAGGAAGTACAGTATACTTGGGACCTTCTTTTACAGTTGCCTCCAGTTGTGTCATCCTCTAAACTGACCTCGGCTCTGTAGGCAAACTGAAGATTGTCCTGGGAATGTTGGACCTTAGGCCTGAGGAGGTTGAGGACTCAGAAACCAATCAAGTCAGATGAAAAGATTTTATTGAGGTGAGTGGAACAGGAGCA